TACATGGGGTAATTAATATTTAACAAAAACTCCCCTTGCAATTTAGTTATCATCCATTATTTCATAAGGAGACAAACACGTATGTCATGGAGCAAGGATAAGATCACAAGTCAGTGCCTCCAAAGCCAGTGTCTCCTCACCATTGTGCTATGCTAATCCCGTGTTATTTTCCTTCTTTCTTTTCCTCCCTCTCTCCCTCTCTCCCTCTCTCCCTCTCTCCCTCTCTCCCTCTCTCTTTCTTTGTTACTTTTCTCATTGCTGGGACAAAATACCCTACAGCAGTTGAAGGAAAAAAGATTTATTTTGGCTCACGGTTTGTAGAGGTTCCAGTCCATAGCTGGGGGCTCCAACGTAGGGTGGCACGGCAGAGGGGCATCACAGAAAACAACAAGCCATGGCACAGCAGGCCGAAGGCACTGAAATAGCAACCAGCAGCAGCTTGCCTTCCCTCTCTCCCTTTATATTCCATCCAGGCTATAAGCCTATCGATTGGTGCCACCCACGCCCAGAATGGAACTTCCATTGTCTGTGGAGATGAGATGGGAAGAATGAGGCCTAATTGGCCTCCTCAGTGAGTACTGAGGAGAAAGAGGCCATGCAAGGGTGCTAACACGCTGTGGGGAAAAGTAAAAACACCTGAGGTTAAGTTGTTTACTGGAGAAGTACCCTGGAGGGTGGGAGACAGATGAATCCTGTGGAACTCTAAATGCTCATTCCCCAGTCTGAGTGAATAAAGCCAATGTGTGCCAGTCATTTTGGGCTCTATATTGAAGGGAGACATGAGCTCCCTGGCCCCTGAGATTTTAACTTGTTTCTGTGCCTATTTTTCATCTTTGTCACTCCTTGCTCAGGTTCGAGCTCAGCTTGTAGGCTGGTTCTTGCAATTATCCACACCCAGGACTATGCTAACCCAATCACTGGATTAATTTAGTAATGCACACCTTTAATACCAGTATCATACACTCTGGATCAGCGATGGCAAACCTTTTAGAGCTTTCAGTGATAACAGTCTACTGCAGCATTCTCTAGGTTCACCACCACTGTGCTAGATCCAGCCAGCTCTGAAAAGCCCCACCTATGAGCTCATGAAGCTTTGGGAGGACATCTAGATATAAGCCATAAGACTTCTTTCCTTCCTTCTCTACTTCTATTCCAAGGATTGTGAGAAGGATAGAGATACAATAGAATAGACTATTACTTTGTTTCATTTCTTTTATTATTGGGTAAAGTGGATTTTTAAATACAATGTTGTATTTTAAATATACTAAAGATATGATTTATAGGAATTCTATGTGAAGTGAATGAAAATTGTTAAACATCCTTATAAAATGAATATAATTTCTAATTTATATGTTAATATATATTTTCTGTACTATGTTGTCTTAGATCTGTAGACCTTTAGAAATGCCAAATGAAGAGGATCAATTGCCAAACTTTCTCCTAAAATATGAAAAGATAAGAGCATTAATGTATAAAATAGGAATGTTATCAGTAGCTCCTTCTAAAAGTGGCTCACCAAATAAATGTTACCTTCTAAAAGTGGCTCAACAAATAAATGTGTTTGGTTGTTTGCCTCTCCTTCTGGAGTTGGATTCCAAGTTCTTTTTGTCTCAAAGAATTGAATGAAATGAACAAAACGCAGTGGCAAAGTTTATTTGAAAGAGTAAATGGGAAGAGTGAGAGAGATAATATTTTAATATTTTCTTTATTATTAGCCACTCTAGTCATTAATTTCTCTCAAATATCTTGCTGTAAGCTAAAAATCACCACTTTCACTGTCATAGTCTCTACTGTTATCTTTTGGAAGTGTGTGTGTGTGTGTGTGTGTGTGTGTGTGTGTGTGAATAAGAAGCCTTGACCTGTAATGAAAGTTGAGCATGTGCACTGAAAAGCAGAACTGAGGTGCGGAGCCTGGGCTGGAACCCATACCCCTCACCTGCAAACTTCCCAGACCCCACTTAGCGGCTCTCAGCATGTGACTGCTTGTCAGAACTGAATGCCAAGTCCACAGGTCCTACTGAGCTAAGTTTTAGAATTTTGCCCTAGTATGTATTCTGGAGTGTGCCTATGTTACACTAGGAAAAATATATATATAGTTCAGCCTCATGTAGAAGAAAAAAGCAAATCATACTAGGTATAAACAGACAGACTGTCACTATGTCATGAGAATTTCATGGAGGATCAGTCTTGGCCTAAGTTTTCTAATTGGGTCTTATCATTTCATATTACTTAATATTACATTTAATTTGCCAGCATTCACATTTCAAAGTATTTGTCAAGTAAGCAGTCTGTATTGCTTTGGTCCATACCTATTTGCAACGACTAAGTTTGAATGTTCAAATCTCATAGTTTTTTTCATGTGGCTTAGAATGGGAAATAGAAATATAGAAAATTCTGATCGTGAAGGACTAAAGACACATATTTATTTTTCCTCCTTCCTGAAGTCCTAGTGAAATGTGTAAAGAGATATAGAAAATCAGTGTTGAAAGAGGTACGAGGTGCCATTGGAATATTCCTGGAAGATAGAAAGTAGAGAAGATCAGAGCAGTGAAGGCACAGGAGGCATGAAAACCACACTCTACGTTATGCAAGAGGAAGTGGCTATAGTAGGAAGAGCCATGTTCAGGAATAATGCCAACTTCATAGAAAAAGTAAAGAGTGAAGTAGGCTGCAGGGTAGCCATCAAGGAGTAAAGAAGCTAAAGAAATATTCTCTAGGAGTTGCATTTGTCTCTGCATCTACCTTGTGTTATGCTGCAGCACTTGCCTTTTGAGTATCTAAACAAAGCAGAGAATCTAGGTCATTAGGGCGCATAGAATGGGTGTTGGCCAGAGTGTGAGAATAAAGAGGCAGATCAAACACTGGGTGAAAACAGCTAGTTACTCCACTGTAGGTATAATGTCCCCAGGGTCACTTGTGCACATCATCAGCCATATGCTTGCTCTGCTTGAAAAATCCTCGAGAGAAACTTGCCCATAGATGTTATCCATTCCTAGTGTCTGAATCAAAAACTTCCAGCTCAGGAGGAAAAGACTTTTTGGGTAAAATAGTCTCTGTAATGATAGAGAAAACCCTTACTAATGTAGGAGAGAAGGTAATTTTTCCCTCCCCATCTGAAAGTTTAAGTCTAAATTTGTTGAAAGAAACTGGTGATACACAATTTAACCAAAAGAAAAAGCACTTTATTAATGTGGCCTGGGACTATCACAGGAAAGTTAGTACCCCGCAACTTAAAGAGGTCCAGAACCTCATACACTCGTCACAGTGCAGAGGGAGATGGGTGAATTTAGCAGTTTTGAGGAATAATAAATGATTTTTAGTGGAAAATAGTGGGACCAGAAAACAGACAAGTTTTAAAATGATCAGCTTTGGCAGCTAGGTAGGACTGAAGACCATCACTTATGGCAAAATCTGTGTAGGTAGGTTGACATTCTTCAGTCTTCTTTCCTACCAATATGAGGTTAATCTTTACTGATTAATGAGATATCAAAAAGGAGGTCAAAGACGCTTGTGCAGTATTTCTTTTGGAAGAGCTTTCTTCTATCAGGTAAGGGGACTTCAGAAAAAGCCCCTTCCTACATAAAAAGAATTAAGATGTATTATGTACAGGTTCCAACTCCCCATGATGAATGTAATCAGTATGTACTAATGAAAATAAAACTTGAAGAAAAAGAGCCCCTCCTTCAAGTGGAGAAAAACAAAGGAAGGTCAAAGAGACCATGATTCTGAGCAACTTCTAAGGCCTGCCCACTTCTTTTAATTCAAAGAGCTCAGTGTACCAAAGCACCGTACTCTGGGATGTTTTGCTCCCCAACACTAGCTACCCATATCTACCAACCTAGTCTTTTGTTGGTAAGTAAGAACAGAAACGAAGAATCAGTCAGACACTTGAAGCAAATCAATAACATGAAAGAGAAGAAAGGAACTTTACCAAATGAGTGATAATGACAGAAAGGCAAGTTGCCAGTCAAAGATTATGATTTCCATCTGTGTTAGCTTTCCACTGCTGGGACAGAATACCCAAGATAACTAGCATTTGGGCATTGGAAGGATTTAATTAAGATTTAAACCCAAACACTATGCATAGTGTTCATGGAGTCAGCTGCCCAGCTAGTGACAGCAATTCTTCATCACCTCGGGGTCCAGGTAGGATCATGAGCCTATTTTTTTTGGTCCAAGTAATGAAGAAGCGCATTTTCCCACCTATCTCTTCTTCCTCAGGTTCTTCACTTTGCACCCTGCCACAGCTCCCACTTTTAGTCTAGCCTTTTGCTCTGCTGCACTTGTCCTCCTGTGCTCTTTTACAGAACATATCTGTTTATGTGTTTTTAAAATCTGTGTTCCCCACCAGAGTGAAAACTTCATGAAGGAAGGGACTGCTTTAACTCTTTGCAGTTGTATCGAGCTCCAACAGCAGTGCCTGCTGCCTATGAAACAACCAATAAATTACACAGGGTGAATGGGTGAATGCTTGAGGCTTCCGTAGCGGCAACATGCAGGTGCCCTAGGAAGTGCCATACCCTTCACTGCTCAGGGGTGCAAGAGGAACTCCAGGAGAATGTTGCCTTCTTCATAAATAATACTGGGAGGGTGAGGCTTTTCACAGTCTGAGGCTACAATTTCCAGGTCAGAATATTGACAAGTAAGGTGTTGAGGTCTGGCTGCACTCACCCTGTTTACGGAGGTCTCTGGGCATTCACATTTCCTCCTCAGCTTTTGGTGGCAGTGAGAAGCAGCCAGATGTAAGCGGTCTCTGTGGGCTGGTGTGTGGTTCAGCTTTCAAACTACTCGAAAGTGTGAAAATGCAGTCGCACCTCATGAATTTAAATACCAAAACACTCTACCTAGCTGAATAATATCTTAGTTCCTCCCACTCCTGTATTTCACTGGGTCTATAAATATTAATTGTTATTTTTGGCTTAGTGTCACAACTGGAGGTGGGTTTCTCTTTTTCCCTCCTCATTTTAGAGTAACTGATGTGTTTTATTATTTATTCTTAGTTCTTCAGAATGGATTGTGTAGATGAATATTCCCATACTTCTTTTGATCTACAATGTTTGTTAAATTCATTTCCTGGAGACTTGGAGTTTAAGCAGATCTTCAGTGACATTGATGAACAGATTGAACAAAATGCTACCAGGTAAATATTGTCAATTTTTTAAAAATAAGTTGTTTTCACTTTTTATTTACATAAAATTTACCTAGTCTGGTTTTAATGTTCCCTGCTCTTAGGTAATGTTAGGTTTTAATTATCATTAAATTTACTGAAAAATACTGTTAGACTCTCCTTAGAATTTCACACTATTGTTTTTATCTGATGTACTTTGTTAAGACAAGAAAATATAGGCACTACTTTCAAATAGGCAAATTAGTTTATTAAATCACTGTTAATAGTTTCTTGGAGTTTGAAATATTAATGTTTTGTATTTTTATTAATATGTTTAGAGTTAAGCATTGTCACTTAAAGTGTAAGCCCAAAAATTAAAAATGTGAAATTAAGCTATTAAAAGACAATATTGAATATAAATTATTTTTCATAATGTTTTGTCATTTTGAGTCCTCTTCTTACTTAACTGAAAGGGTAGGGACTTCTTGGAGAGTTCGTACACCAGATTATAGACTTCTTCACCTATCCCAAAAAGTGGTTTTACCAGATACTGGGGGAATAGGGACAACAACATAGTTTCCCACTAAAACATGTTCTTTGATAGATGTCTTTATATGTATATGCATAGCCTATAATAATGTAATTCACTTGTTTGAATCCTTTTGGTCAAAGGTTCTAGTTCATCAGTTGCACATTTCACGTTACAAATGTGCAAATCACAGTAGAAATTTCTACTGTGCAATGATACATAGAGTGTCCTTTTTAAAAATTTAAGATATAGTTTAATTGGTTCAGATACAGTGAAGAAAGCAAGTGAAATGTTCCTATGGTATTTTTCTTCCTGCTTTCCTAAGACAATTTTTCATCATTGTAACAATAGCATAAATGAATTCACAAGTTAGCATATTGTTGGGGATGTCTACTAAAAAACAAAATCTCCTTTCTCAGAAATCCTGTCCATGAAATAAATAGAGAAAGAACCTTTTTTTATTGATTAAGTACTAAACCAGAATATGAAGTGCATCATAAACAACACACTAAGAGAATTACCAGGAGAGGAAGGAGCCTCGCTGTCCTATATATAGAGAGCCAAATAGACACAATCAATTACACACATGTTAACAAGATGAGCAATCACTAATCCTCAAGGAGGAAGACTTGACAACACATTTTGTCACACATAGTTTATCCTAACTTTACCATAGCAGTTAGGGAGACCACCTGTGTTAGCTAGAAGGATTAATTCTGAGGAGAAATAAACTTCTCGTGGTCTTTATGACAGGAAGTAGTTTTGCAGAATGGAGTAAGGGGCCCACTGAAGTTAGGGTTTTAACTCTCCCATAGAACTGGAGGATGGGGGAACTATTTCCCTTGATATTTGTTTTGCAACAACATATTTCCAGGATCCTGAGAACACTAATGGGTCACAAAGCTGAAAAAAGTCATATGTAGCCTTCCAAGGAATACATGTTAAAAAGATGAAAAGCACTTACAATTAATCTTATAAGGCAAATGATAGAAGAAAAAGGAGAGGAAGGAAAATTTTTTTCCTTAATTTTAATAGAGATTTAAATTTATTTATACATTTGCCATTATACACACATCATATTGATTTATTTAAAGACAGCATCGATATATAACATAACCATACTGGTGACAGTATATATTTGATATCACATATAACTAGATAAAAAACCTTAGTGTCATTGTATATTTATGTAATTTTTGTTTTATATATTTGTAAAATGACACGACACGATAGAGTTTTTAATGCAAAGGAATTTGGGAGTCAAAATAGTATTTACTTAAATAGATTAACCGTTTTCTGTATTTCAGAGATGGTGATTGCCTTTAACTGGAAATTTTTTTTTTTGGTACCGGGGATTGAACACGGGTCCTTCTTCTTGCAAGGCAGGCGACAGAACCACTGAGCTAAATCCCCGGCCCCTAATTGAAAATTTTTAAACTTGAAATGTTTTTCAGAAGATAAACTTCTTCCTTTGCAATGGCACTTAGACTCCATCAAAACAAAGCAAGTTCTCAACTGATACATTTTTATATATTGCTTCATTTTTATTTGCTGAACCATCGGGACTTAATTTTCTGCCCTACTCGGTCAATAAACAATAATATTTAAAAATAAAACAGTGATTAAAATATTGTATTTTGCATTCATAAATTGTTATTTGGATTGAAACATAGATGTTAATATTAAAAAGAAAATATAATACCGAATATAAGTGTATAATATCAAAATTAAAACATATTTTATTGCCCATATATTAAAATGAACCTAGAGCAGAACCACCTCAAGTGACCATTGATCTTCACGAGGGATAAAATAAGGGAATAGCTGTACAGGCTATATGCTACATTTAGAATCAAGTCTATTTTTCATCAAATTCAATTATGTTTTTATTATACTCTAGAGAATAAACATAATAGTATAGGGTGTATATATTTTTAAAAATAAAATACTGAATAATAACTATGGTTCAAAGGAGTGTAAATCATTTATGCACTCATTTATTGCCTTCTAACAGAATAGCTTTTAGAAAATTGTATGTCATGACAAATCAGTTATGCCACACTTACACTGCAGTCGCTGAATTACCTATGGCATTTTTGTATTGTAACGGTTCTATTTATCTCCCGATGGTGTACATTGAATAAGTAATGAATACCAGTATGATACGGATTTTCCCCAATACTTTTAAAAGAAAAAAACATTAGCAATTCATTTTTAAATATAGTACTTTTTTCTTTCTTTTGAATTTTTAAAGCTGTATTTCTTGCAGTGACCCTGACACCTCAAGTGTGAATTCCTTCCCTCTTCTTAATATCATCAAATTTTATGAGCCACGGGATCTCTCGCTTCCCCAAAGCAGTGATTCCCCAGAATGTACCAGTGTGCCCAGAGGTCCTGAACCTTCACCTGCCCTTCAGGAGAGTGGTCTTTCTCCCAGGCCATTTTCACTCCTGCGTCCTTGTTTCCATTCACGTCAGAGCTGGGAGACTGGTAGTTCTGATGATGGGAATCAGCGACAATGAATCATTTACTTTGAACACATATCAAAATTGATAGCAAGAGGGTAAATAACCTTCCAAGGAAGAATACTACCAATGCTGTACCCATAGACACAGTTAGTTATCTGACTGAAAACTGCCCACAGCACTGAAATATATTTTGGGCTGACTAGAACTTGTTAGTTTAATAAGATCTTAAGGAATAGATAGATGTTCGCTTGGGCTCACAACGTAACTGTGATTTTTGTTCTCTTAATGTTGAGTTGGACAGATATGTTGGGTTTTTTTTCTGGTACTGAGGATCGTGGTACCCAGGGCCTTGCATTAAACTACGTCCTCAGACCTTTATTTTTTATTTTGAAACAGGGTCTTGCTAAATTGTCAAGTTGCCCAAGCTGGGCTTAGCTTTGCTATCCTCCTGCTCTAGCCTCTCAGAGTGCTGGAATTATAGGTATGTACCACCACACCTCGTATATATATATTTTTTATTTTGAAAGTTTATTTTACTCTTTTCTAAGTATAAACAACCTCTCCTCATATTTCAGGGATCATATTTTGCTGATATTGATGTAAGATACCTACTCTTTTTCTTTTTTAATCTAAAGAAAGAGCAAGAAGGGCTGGGAATCTAGCTCAGTGGTTCCGCTGCCTGCCTTGCAAGCACAAGGTTCCGAGTTTGATCCCCAGTAGCAAAAAAAAGAGAAAGAGCAAGAAGCACTACCATGGAAGATACCATTTGTCTTAACACAGATGTCAGGGGAGGAGGGATTTTGTGAGAGAATTTTGGGTAAATGTTTTCTACAAAGTTAACTATATTTATTAATGGGAGGATACATATCCCATAGATTATACTTATTTTCCACACATTGGTTATATATTCTGAGCTTATATATGAAAAAATTGTAGAGTTCTCCATATGAGGGCTTAAAAGTCTAGTAGAAGTAACCAAAAGAAATCTGTAAGTAATCTACCAACTGCGGGCTTTTCACTGCAGAGCCACAAATGTGCTAATGGATGCATATACACACATATGAATATATTTTGTAGCCATGGCATATAATATAAAGAGAAATTCATTTCAAAGTCTGTATTTTACAGTATATTAATTTTGGCAGTATTTTGACACAATAAGAGGATGCAAATTAATATTTGCTCCTTTCTTCAACTTCCTATGTTTATATTTTGGAGGTTTCTTTATTTTCTTCTCCATCTCACAGAACCCTGATCTCTTCTCCCATCCTACTGAACAAGGCCAGGCTACATGAAAGAAAACAGAAAAGGACCACCTCCCTCCCCGGTTATGCAATCCAGGATAAGACCGGAGTACGCGCTCCGGGTTCCTCTGACTGGGCCCTGTCCAGCACTTTCAGACTCAGGCACTCAGTATTCTGGGCCTCAGCGCTCAGTAGCGTAAACTTTGCCTGGGTCTGTTCATATTTCCCTTTTTAACTTCTCTGTTCCTCCCACTGAAGCTTCAACACCAAGTCTGGTGTTGCTTGCAGATGAAATGTCAGTGAGTGGAAAGAAGACCGGCCACAGCAGTCTGTTGCACCCCTTTCTCCTCATCATTTTCTGTCATTATTAACTATGTTCTTGTGACTGTCTGTGGTGATCTTCACTCCTTCCTTCATCATCCTGCAGAATGTTCAGTGCTTCCCTTAAACCTCTGCATTAGGATGTAAGATGAGCAGGGGCCAATGTGGCGAGTCATTCTTTTTTAAATTTTTATTTTTATTAGTACATGTTTTCAGTACATAATGATTCATTGGGGAGAGTTGGTACATGTATGTGACGCATCTTAACTCTTTTTATTTCTTCTTCTCCTCCCCCTTCCCTCCACCTCTTGGTCCCCTGTCTATATCCAGTTATCTATCTTTTATTTTGCTCTTTCATTTATTATACTTGGCTTTCTCATATATGAGAAACCATACAATACTTAAGCTTGTGCAGCTGATTTATTTTACCTAACATTAAGGTCTCAAAGTGCATCCATTTTCTTACAAATGACTCAGATGTGTCCTTCTTTATATCAGGGTTCTTTGAAGTAATATGTACATTTTAGGTGTTGGACAATTTATAAATGTATGTATTTATCTCTAAGTGTGTTAGCTTTACTTATTCTACACCAAACAGATATAAGGTAATAAACAAATGTTGTTTGAGGATATCCTAAAGAATAGTATTACCATTGTCTTTCCATGAGGACTAAGGAAAGGGAAGCACATGTCTGCCTGTTTTGAAACTGTTACACCACCTAAAGTTTGAATAAGATTGTTATACTGAAAATTCAGGCCCAGTTGGAGCTTGAGCCAATAATAGTTGAATCACTATTTCTCAGAGACGATCATAGTTGATGGGCCACTGAGAAGTCAGCCTCACTACTGAAGTAAAACTCAAAGACCTGGCCCAGCTTTGAAGGGAAGAACGAGTTGTGGCCATAAAAATAAATTCATGTTTTTATTATTCAAATAGATACAGTTTTAAGGTGAGACAGCAGTGAGGTTTGATGATCAGTAAGTACTGCATTCTGAGGGGTCAGCTGTGGGTGAATTTCAAGTACAGTGAGTCTATAAATTTCCTGAGAGTGTCAGTGTCTTTGCATATAATCTCTTCTTGTAGGAGGAGAAGCCGTTTCTACTCTTCCCACAGGTACATTTAGAGGTTGCCTCCTGAGTACTCCCTTTGTGTCTTGTATGCACCTCTTATTGAATCATCCAGCATTGTAGTTATTTATTTACAGCTCTTTCTCACTAGACAGAATTCCTTTAGGGATGGTATGATGTATATTCATGTTTGGATCCCTAGTAGTGTTTATCACAGTACCTACCACATACTCAGCATCCAGTTAGTGCTTAGCAAATAAAGTGCCTACTCAATAAGCAGTTTTTGCAGTCCAAGAATCTAGGAGTGATGTTGAATGAGAAAATTGCCATAGGTATTCTTTTAAAAAGCACACTTCATATTGCATTTTTAAAATGGTTTATAAATTGCCTTATCCACAGCCTGTTGGTAATGCCCCACTTGCACACATCATTAACTTAGATAATTCGGAGTCATTATAATTAAAGCACATGCAGTTATAAGTTTATTAAGCAATGTGGAGACTTATGAAGAAGCATGGAGCACTATGATAAATACTCATGTTCTCAACATCCAGTTTAAGGAATAAAATATTAACAGTCCTGCTAAAGCTCTCTGTGTCCTCTCCTCAAACTTATTCCACTTTCATGCACTCCTACAAGAGGGGGATGTTGGATCTTGCATTTCCTCATACTTTTACTACCTGTGATGATGATCTTCAGCAATATGTGGCATTATATAAAATATTTTCAAATTATTATATGAATAGTATTGTATATGTCCATGTGGATTTCATTTCTCAACATTGTGTTTGTTAGATTCTACATGTTGATAAGTATTTCTACTTTATTTTTTTGGTTCTATTCCACTGAATGAACTATTGAACCATTTAATCATTCTTTTATTGCCAGACATTAAAACAATTTTCAGTGATTTTAATATTGCAAACAAAGCTAAGAAGATGCATTTAAATGTCCTCACTAAACTCAATTAATGTTAATAAACTTGGGAATTTAAACTATTTAGAAAAGAAAGTCTGCTACTATTTTTAGACTTTAAATTTTGCCCTAAAGTTTTGGGATCTAACAATAAATGTGCTAATTACTTTTTTGTTTGTTGAATTAGCTAGGTTATTTTCTCTTGACTGACCTTGCTTCTAGCGAAAATTTGAAGCAATTTCCAGTTATACAGATAACACTGTATGTGTTTTCTATGGTATTTCAAAAAACCTCGATTATGAGTTTGTATCATCTAAGCCTAATAATATATAGACTTCCTCCTACCCCAGGTTACCATCTCTGATAGCAATATTACCACATATATTTGAAAGTATTTGAAATATAACACTTGAAAATAATTGTACCTTTTAAATATTGAAAGTTAATTTTTAATTTAACTTTAACCTTGATTAAAGAAGATAAGTTGGTAGACCATGTATGAAACTAACATCCACCTTAAATTTTGAAAATATTTCTTTCATATAACAATTAGATAAGAAATTGCCAGACTTGGGAGGATTAAGTTTTTAAATAAGATATATAAATACTGGAGGAGGCAGGTTGACAAGAGATTTAGCCAACTAAAAAAAAAAATCCATATACCAACAATGGGTTCTGATATTTTAAAATTTGCAACACAGTGTTTTTAAAAACAAGCTGAAGTGTCTTAAGTTATATTAGTAAGGGAAGTCTCTTGAAATGCAACTGCTTAATCCTTTTATCAGCATTTGGACAACTTTCTAAAATATCTAGCTCTCCGAAGGCTTTACCCTATTCATAACTTGTAGTTATTGGCCTCTCCCCAGATTCAGATGTTAAGACATTAGCCTAAAAGCCAAGTCCTGATTGAAACAGATTTGGGTAGCCTCTCTTCTGAGCCTTTCCAGTTCACTTTGCTGTGATCTGTTAGGTTTCAATGAACGAGACATATAAGGACGGTGTAATAAAAACCTTTGATAAGGCGTCCCCAGAGTCAAGGTGAGCATCGTGTTTCTCAGCCCATGGAAATGTTCACGTGAGTTAAGAAAACTCCTGCCAGGCTCTTGGTGGACTCAGAACTGGTGTTCCAGGATAGGACTGTCCATCGGGAAATTCAGTGGCTTGTGGCTAAAGGAGGTATTATTTTTTCTTTTAAGTTCTTTGTTTTCATGAAAAGGCGCTTTGATTCTCAGAATTAATTTTTTTTCAGGGTAATTTAGTTTGAATTCTCTCTTGCTCCAAAGTCTCCTGAAAAGCTTTGCTCTAACTTTTATATTGTGTCTTTTATAGACAACCCATACCTGAGGAATTTTTCATATAGCATCAGTTTTAGTAATCAGCATGGTTTCTAAAACCCACATGGCTCTATCATGGAACCTATAATTAACAGCAATTATAGTTTCAAAACAGTCACTTTCCCCTCTGGTAACAAATATTCCTTGGAACTCTTAAGCGACAATGGGATAACTGTCAGTTCTGGGCGAGGAGGGGATTCAGTGTCAAAGGAATGTGTAATATTTGCAAGCTTGCTCTAGTTTGGTGTGCTGCCATCAGGTGGTGGGGATATGTCACATCGGCGTGGCTCTGCAGCTGGCACTCTGCCAGGGTCAGGACTTCACCCTGCAAAGACTGAAAATCACGAATGCACAGAATTACGTATGGAAATGAAAATAGCATAATATATCTGTTATTTTACCAGAGCTAAATATCCTTTGAATGGAATCTTTAAAACAGAAACATAAGCTTCACCTGGATGTTTTTTCTCTTCATCTTTTTTGTGAAGTCATTTCATCTTATTCCTCATAAACACTAAAGGAAATATAGAAAAGTGAAATAAAAACCTATTTAATTGCATCTCGCAAATATACTTGTCATTAACCTTTTGCTTCATTTCCTTCCAGTCTTTTTTTTCTTTTCTTTCTTTTTTGGTATATGCAATTTTTAGTGTATGTTTCTCTTTTGGAATGGAGTTGGATGGCAACAAAAGGTATTTAACATTTAACCGCAGTAACATTCTACATTCTTTATACAGCTTTTAAAATTAAAATTACAAGCTCTTTGTAACTGCTTCTGGATTTTTTTTTTTTTGGTAGTTACTGGGGATTGAGTACAGAGCCTTCAAGGATGTACATCCCTAGCTGTCTTTAAAACTATTTATTTTAAGACAAGGTCTTCTTAAAGTCACTGAAGTTGCCTAGGGAGAGCTTATACTTGGGACCCTCTTCCCTCAGCCTCTTAAGAGTGCTGGGATTATAGGTGTGCACCACTGTGCTTGGCTGACTTCTAAATGTTCTATCAATTTAATTTTTCCATAATTTGTATTACCACTCATCTGTTAGCACATAGTATTGTTACTGACTTTTATTGTCTTTGGGACTATTTTTCCTCTGCCTTCCATCCACTGCCTGTCAAGAGAGGCATTATTACATTATATCTATACTTGGTATTGGTTTTAACACAAAAGAATTTCTAAGTCATCTTTAAGTAACTATAATTTTATAATTTTATATATTTTATAATTTCTTGGTCACATTTTTCTTCTAGAAAATGTAAATTCGGTTTTCAACTAGGAATGAAAATGTATAGTCCCTTTGTTATTATTTTCATATCGTGAATATTTCATAAATGGTACACAACCAGATATGGGCATTTCAGACCCTATGTTGTTATGAGATAGAACTATTGTCTACTTCCTACCAGAATAATTATATGTTTTCTTTTTTATAGCATTGAGCATTGCATTAAAGAAATACAGAAGGAAGTTAATAAACAGTGTCCAGATGTACAGCTGCAAACAGCAACCGACTGCTTCGAATGGCTGATTCATGGTAGTTACAGTACATCTAAGTCACCTTCTGTTCCCCATGGAGATTTGATAAAATTCCTCAAAGCAATGGTAAAAAAATTTTTTTTGGTTTTATAATGGAGGTGAATAGGGGCTACAGTTCATTCAATTTCTATATGTAAATATTTATTTTAGTGATACTGGCCTGCCTTATCTAGGGGTGTATAGGTTCATTTTGTTTTGTTTCTGTATCCCCAGAAGAATCCAGTGATCTATTTAAAAAAATTCTTTACTCTGATTTTTATTAATAGAATGAAATTTTACATAACTGGAGGCTAAATATTACAATTCCTGGATGATTTATGATGTGATATGTAGTATAACAATACCACAAAATGTGTTAATGTATACAGAAGTTGTCTTCCAGAGTTTATATTTTTATATGTAAATGTTCCTTCACAACTACTAAGTTGCTCTATGCTCAGTATTAAACTTAATAAGATTCCCACCAATTGTATCTATTGAGTGGCTTTATCTGTGATTCACTACATTTCCAACTTGCAGTCATATCTAATACTTTTAAATCAAGGCAGCAATTTACACAAGATCATTTAATTATTGGAGAATTATTATATTGGTCTGTCTTTGACATCGATCACCCTCTAGATTAGAAAAGTTTTTGAACTCTCTAACAAGAACAGTTATTTTATTACACCTATGTCTACAACCATGGCTAACTTAAAAAAACAGATTCCCAAAGAAAGAGCACAATTGTTAGAAAGCAGTATTTCTGCAGTCATGGTTTTAATTTAATTTAGGGGGGAAAGACACTGTTTTTGTATGAACATCAAACACTGACTAAGGCAGATGTGGAAAATATCTTGAGGTTGTAGATGGCTTAGGATGATAGAATCAGATGAAAATAGTTTTTGGCTGTTGTTATTATTACAGATGTCTCTTTAATGTTTACAAAGTTAAAAAAAAGGAAGAGAAAGGAAGACTCTGCCCTGAAGCCTTAATATTTTAAGAAAATCCTCCCTCTCACCCATTATCTCTTGAAGGTAGAGCCTTGAAGAATAAATATGGATATTGTTATTCCTTTAATTTCTATTAAGAGCCATGTGTATTGAATTTCATTAATATTGATGTAATAATGCTTTCTCATTTAATTAAAAGCAAAAGCTTTTAATTATCTTTTAATCTGTCAGACATAAGTCATTCTCTATTCACTGCAGGGCAAAGGCCACCTTAGTTTTGTTCAAACTCATTAGACTGATAGGCTTGTGCCAGACCTAGGTTTTTCCTTTTTTACATAATTGATCATGTTATTTTGAGGAAGGAATCACATTATTAAAACAGACCCAGATTAAAATGACCTTATTATCAAGTTTCTACATGCTAAACGTGTCGATCTTGATGGTATTCTTCATATATTTGTTTTTTCACAGAAAATTTTTCTTAATTATCTGTTTAAATAAGAAGCAGATTCTCATTGTGGCAATTATACTGAAGTTATTTTCAAAATTTAAACAATCATACAGAACACATGCTTTAAACTTATATAATCTATTCTTCTTTGTTTGACCAAATATTTATAGTTATTCACTGGCTTAAAGAAACCCACATTTAAGGCACTAATATGATCATTTGCCTTAATTCTGATATGGCGCTGAGTCATATCTAAAGACATTTGTTTTCCAGAGGCATCAAAAGAAGTGAATATCAGGAGAGGATAGAGAAAGAAGCTACTGAAAAGTCCCCTGCACTGTGTGCTTCCCTTGAGTGCAGTAGACAGAACACAGATGAAGAGTGAATCCGGGGATATATTCTTGGTTCTGTGCCTTATTATAGGTGATGTTTGGAACTTAGGCATTCATATTAGTATCCTTATCTGTAAAATGAATTTTTAAATATCTATGCCACAGTTTTCATGTGAATAAACCAGAGAATGGGTATAGGAAATGCCTTTTATATATTAAAATGTATACATACGCTATGCAATTATTACAGGTAGAACTTTAAAGTTGGCATTGCAATGCTTAGCATGACTGAAAGCAATTTCTAGGAATTTGTCTAGAACTTATTCATAATTCTGAATCACACATAATACTTGTGGTACCTTTATCAATAAGTTTTAAAGTTCACCCAATTTTTATATGCCACTTCGGCCTTGCTTCCTCTTGTAATCAGCTTATTTCTACTTAAAGAATAGAAACTAATTTCACTATTAGCTGAAATAGATAGAAAGTGAGCACGTAAAGAGAATGTATGTGTGTAATTCAGTCTAAGAAGAAAGTAATTTTTTGTCCATTTATTCATAATTATACATACCATTGTTTTCTATCAGCACAGAAAATATAAAAGAGTAATTTTATAACATCTTTTTGGGAGCAATTCTGAGAATCTCTTTATCCCATTTTGAGTTAGTTGTTTCTTAAGAGAGAACTGAAATATTCTGATTAATTTTCAAAGGAAAACCTTTCTTAATGTGGTTCTCAGGAATTTAAATGCAAGTTGAAATCATTCATTGTATTAAATTTTATTTCTCAGGATGGTAACTATTAATAACCTCAAGGCACATACTATTTTTAAAAATCTCCACTCTGTTCTAGAATGATTTTAAGCATTGTATGTTCATTTGGGGTTTTATAATAATAAGTATACTCATTGAGGCATGCAAATTATCTACCAAGAATTAATTAGGGGCATGATCTTGAATTTATTTTGTCTTAGAAGCACATTTCAATCAATACTTCACTATAGATTTTTATTTAGAACTTTTAAGCTTCAGCTTTCATACAGCTCAGGTTGTATCAGGGATGTAACAATAAAAGCTAAAAACTATATGTCTAGAGCTCTATTGATAGTCAGCCAGCTGGGCTTTTACCGAATTTAACAGACCATAAAAGCTAACATTCAAAACTGTCTGAATTGATTAAATTCCAGTGGCAAAGAATAAAATCTTGAAGGGCATCAGAGTATTGATTCTAAAGTGATATAAATTATTATAAAATTGTGTATGTCTGTAGAGTAATTTTTCTTGTTGTGTTTAGATGCAATACATTTCTTATGTGATAATTTACTTTTACCAGGAAGATTTATTGAAGAATGAACAAAATCAAGAAGAAATGATACTGGATTTACTTTGGGACCTGTCCTTCCAGAGCAGCGTTTCATTACCATCAACTTTAAGTGAAACATCTTTTCATTTCCTGTCTAGGACTTCTCTTCATTCTGTTGAAGATCATTCCTCAATGGATGTGAAGTCTATATGGGATGAAATAAGACTGCATCTTCGATGCTTCTTAGTTAACAGATTAGAAAGCCATAATGTAATAAACAGTTCACAGCAAAGAATTGTATTGAAAAATCAGTACATACAACAATTCTTGTTTCTCTATCCAGAATCAGAAGTTATCATCAAGTACCAAAACATACAGAATAAACTGTTGGCTAAACTTCTGCAGGACAATTTTCCTTCTTACAGCAGAGATTCAAATTTAGATGTAATTGCTCATGGATACCAAAGTACAATGCTTAAATTATATTCAATGATAAAAGAGGATTTTAGCATTCTGTGTGAAATTTTATCTCCATCCTCAACAGTGAAATTTATTAAAGACACTTACTTGGATACAGTTACAGAAGAAATGGGAAAATTTCTTGAAAACTTTTGTGAGCTGCAGTTCAAAGAAAATGCTGTCCGTGTGGTTAAAACAAGCAAGAGCTCCAGCAAGCGTAGAGGAGCAGTGCATGCCTTGGGTTAGTGACATTTACGTTTTCTGTTTGGTTTAACTTAAACCTTTCTATATCTTTACTTGAGGGGGGGATTGTTTATTTGTTTTGTTTTGGTTTGGTTTTTGGTTTTTCTTTGTTTACACCTCATTACAAACTTGGAAATAAATCAAAAAATGAATGTAATGAAATTTTGCAGTTTACATTTCTCTTTTATGCATTGCTTCTTATGTAAGTATAGTCAAAGAAGTGTTTCTTTTCTGTTACATTGTTAATGATATTGAAAATGTAAGCCAGAAGTTTTGCAAATAAGAGTTTCATTTCCCTTGATTGCATACAGCAAATGATCAAGTATTGGGTGAAACTGTATATAAGTATATACGGTCATATGTATAACATGAAAGCTTAATTTGTAATCCATTATATCTTTGACAGCCAAAGCAGCATTAGATAAAAGACTTGCTGAAAATTTGTTGAATTTTGCATTAATTAAAATTAGAAGTATAAATCTTATAACATTTTAGCCAATTCTTATAAAAGAGCAATTATGAAATATTATTATAAAATTCTGTATTTTAATTTCTTAAGAAGGTATAGCATTGATGCTATAGCTAAGTTTAAAAGTTCTTCTAATTTTTCTATAAGAAAGTATAAAATTAAAAGGTGATTTATGCTATAGCTAATTTTAAAAGTTCCTGTAATTCTGTTATAAGAATGTATAAAATTAAAAGATGAATACATTTTATTCAAAAGATAAAAGAAAAAGGAAAGAAATTATTGTGATACAATAAACTTTTTGGTCATGGTTTTAATTTTCCACCAGTGGACAAAAATCAAGGTAAAATGTGATTGTTCTAAAATTATTAATCATGAATCTCTGAGGCCTCTCTCTAACTAGATTCATAAACTACATTATTTAAGTATTTGAAAATTATCATTTGGTAAATTGTTGTGGCTCTTTGTATTTATAACCTTTTTATTATTTCTATAGCTCACTGTATTTTTACTTATCTTCACTATTTAAATGCCAGGAGACTAAGTTAACATTGATATATGAACTTTTAAATACATCAATATGTTTTCTTAAAATTTTTATTTTCTCCTGGAAACTGGAAGACATTGCAGAATGGAGACACAGCAACTTGTGTTGTGGCAAAATACAAAACTGGTTACTTTAAAAACATTGCAATTTTGTTAAAATCAATTAGGTTTTCATTTTAATTGTTAACACAAATTCTTACATGCATTTCATGAGTGCACTTGTTTTCTACAATTTTTGTATACTCTAACAAAAATTTCCTCTCTGCTTATAAACTATTTCCAATGTGAATATTTTTTGTATGCTAAATATAGCGTATAACCAAAGAAAAGATCCATATGGTTGAAAATATGTGTAAATTGGTATGGAGTCTTCTGTAGGACTGATACTGAGGTATTTTCCTGTTTCTGAGAGAAAAGTGCACGTGTCTACTTTAGCACTAAAATTGGAAATAGGAGTGAGATTTCATAAGCAGAATCAAGATTAAAATGTAGCTGTTTGCGTCCAGTACTTATGTTCTCAACCACCATGCTGTTGCACATCGTCTCAAAGTACAGATTAAATGTTTTGTCACCCATAAAAGAAATTTCAAACAGCGGTTTTCAGGTGGACTGCCTGAAAATCAATTCATTCAGCTTTATTTACCACCTAGCATCATTTAGCAGCTATCATGGTCAAGGTTCTAAGATAGACACGGAATTAGGGAGAAAATCAACTGAGTGGCTGCTGTTATATGAGAAATGCTAAACTAACTGGAAAGATCAGCCATGTTTTTCACTAATATTTTACCCAGTTACCAAATTTTATTTATTAAAGAAATGCAGATTCGAAATGAGCAGTAATAATTTATATTTCTACTTGAATGAAATTAGAGTGGCTTGAATGGAATATATCATATTATCTTTAATATACATCTGTATCTTTATGCTTACCAAGGCTTTGATATTTTGCCTGAGATCTACAGAAAGGATATTCTTTAAGTAACAACTGACTGCTGACATTTATTAGTCAGAAAGTGGTGTACAGTATTATACTTAATTTCTCTAACCAGCCAACAAAGTAGATACCATTATTATCTTCACTATACAGTCAGGAAACTAACACATAGAGGTTTTATTTTTGTTTTGTTTTGGTTTTGGTACCGGGGATCGAACTCGGGACCTTGCACTTCCAAGGCAGGCGGTGGAACCACTGAGCCAAATACCCGGCCCGACATAGAGGTTTTAACTAATTTGCTCAAGGCCAGAGAGTGAAGTCAAGATTCAAATTCATGTATGTCTGACTCCAGAGCCCTTCCTCTGTGACTATGCTCTGTTGATTAAAACTCCGAATGGAAACAGCATGTCCCAGTTGGAAACCCTTTTCTGCATCCTCTCTGTGTTGTCGTCTTGCTTTTCTCCAAATTACCCTTTCTCTTCTCATTTGAAAGCTACACAATCCCAACTTGAAAGTTTTTTTTTTTTGTTTATAGAGTAATCTCTTCACAGTGACCTGTTGATATGTCTTAAACAGGATTTATCTGCCTGCTATGGTCCTAACAAGCTAATGTCCTATCTGTTTGTGCATATGCCTACTGTGTTCTTGAGGAGTTAATACAATGTGGACTTACGGAATCCTTAATTGCCTCTGACTTCGTATTTAGATTGGGAACTGATTGCTCTTTCTTGAATGATCTGTAAATAATCTATTTATCTATATTACTTGTGCATAAAAATGATTGCTTATTGTTATGCATAATATTTTATAAAACTTTATATATGTGAGCTCATTTAATCTTCTGAATTGTTCTTTACATTTATTTATAGTTTTTATATGGGATAACTGAGACTCAGAGAAGTCAATATTTCCTAAGGCCACACAGCTAATAAGCCAAAGAGAGGGACTTCCTCTGTTTGCAATTATTTGGTATATTATCTTCTTTTTTCCACCCAGTGCTAAGGATTAAATTCAGAGCCTCATACATGCTAGGCAAGTGGTCTACTGCTAAGCTACATCTTTAGTCTTGGGATATTATCTCCATATGTCTCAAAACTGTGCGTCAGAAACACTGCAAGATACGATGATAATTAGAATTAAAAATAATTTATAAAGCACTTTCTCTTTTTTGATTTTCATATTCCTGTATTGTTTATAGTACTCATTAAATGTTCTTTCTTTTTTATTGACAGTGATTCCTAACTGACATACGATTTGCTGGTGCTTGTTACCTAAGGAACTAATTTGATACGGTTTTTATGCTATGCTGTGCTGCACTGCTTTATCCCATCCATCCCGCCCTGCCCTGCCCTGCTCTGTGCTGCTGTCACACAGCAGGAGGAGCCCCCTGCAAGGCTATTGCTTCTCTTCACCCTGTTGTGCCCTTTGTACTCTCGATGCAGAAGGAAAGAATCCACAAGAACTCTGATGACTATTATAATTATTATTTTTAATCTTCCTCTAGTAGAAGGTAGAATTTTAAGTAATACAAAACAGTAAATGGAGTAAAAAAATGAGAAAGTATGGCTTATTCAGTTATTATTAATTCCTTTTCTGTTACTGTTTGTTTGTTTTGAGACAGAATCCTGCTGTGTAGTTTAGGCCTGCCTTGAACTTGCAACAGCAATCCTCCTGCCTCAGCCTCCCAAGTGCTAGGATCACAGACATGCACCAGGTCCTTTAAAATAATAGTATAGCTTCAGGTTTTGGGTGGGTCTTGCTTGTTTTGTTGATTGTGAGTCATGTTTTATCCCTGAATGCCTCACTACCTTAGCCCCCTGCTTTGTGACCTTAGGTAACTAACTCATTTAACCTCTCTGAATCTTTCTGTTGAAAAAATGAAAGGCTTACATGAAACAATATCTAAGGATCCTTCAAAGTCTAAACTCTTTCTGACCCTGTACATGACCACAACCAAAGTTTAGGTCTATAATTTGACCTTGGAAACTGCCACCACACTCATTCTCTCTACTGACTTACAGATGTATTAACTGGCAAAGAACGTGGCTCTGTACGCCCCCATAGAAGGTACAACAAGCGCTTCCTTTTAGATCTCCATTGGTGTGAGTTTCCCTCTCCCAAGTGAAACTTGGATATAATAAGATGAAACTGCTCATCTCCTGCAGTTGCATATTTTATAAGGATTGGAGAGTAGGAAGGCGGTGGGTGATTAAACAAAAACAGGAAATGGAGTTTGTCTTTCCAGCTTACATCTGAAGCTATTCTTAATAATTCTTTTTTTTTTTTGCCTTTGTCTTTGATCTCATAACCAAGTTTTTAAATTTTTATTCTTATAAGAGCGTTTTTAAACAGATAATTAAAAAGTAAGATCACAGACAATTAGAAATGCAGCTATTATGTCTTGTTGATTGCAAAGAAATCCATATGTCTGTTCATAGCATATATTTCCATCTGACCAGGTAGGGATTTAGTTCTGATGTGTGTTTTTGCCCAGGGAAGAACCAGCTGATTTCTACACGGCCATAGATAGCAGGCAAGACAGTGCTTTTTCTCAAAAAGCATCTCTGCATCCACACAAGTCCCTTCATAGATAAGTGCAAAATGAAAGCCTCAACATTAGGCTTTGTAAAGCGTGAGGAGTGATTCTGTTCAACAAGTCTGTAGGTAAGAATTTCAGAAACCATATGCAATACATGTTAACCTCTTGTAAGTTTAGTGTGTCTTTTAGCATATAAAGAAAATCAAAAGTAGTATTTTGGGTTTTGACAGGATTGACCATGAAGGCTTCCTGTCTCCTGATTCTGTGTTTACATGGCATGCCTGTGCCTGTCTGCTGTGATAGCCGAGGGTGGCCAGGCCATCGGCAGGGAAAAGAGAACCTGTCTGACCGTTTTCTGGGCCTGGAGGGCTTTCTCCAGTCAATGATTCCCTTCTATAAGTTGATCTCTCCACAGTAATGTCCTCAAGGTGAACTACAAGGGTAAGAGTAAAGATTAGAACTATTTATTTCAGCTCCCTTAAAGGGGACAGGATAGGGCAAATTCATCATGGC